ACTCTTAATTCTTTCAATTATAACTCTACCATACACTTTACCAGGTACACTCAACAGACTTATCCCCCTATAATTTTTGCACTCTCTTTTATCCCCTTTGCCTTTATACAAAGGAACTATGCATGCTCTCTGCCAATCACTAGGTACCTTACCCTCTTCCATACATTTATTAAATAATTGCACCAACCACTCCAAAACTATATCCCCACCTGCTTTTAACATTTCTATCTTTATCCCAACAATCCCGGCTGCCTTACCCCTTTCATTTTACCTACTGCCTCACGAACTTCCCCCACACTCACAACTGGCTCTTCCTCACTCCTACAAGATGTTATTCCTCCTTGCCCTATACACGAAATCACAGCTTCCCTATCTTCATCAACATTTAACAATTCCTCAAAATATTCCTCCATCTTCCCAATACTCTAACTCTCCATTTAATAACTCTCCTCTCCTATTTTTAACTGACAAATCCATTTGTTCTCTAGGCTTTCTTAACTTGTTAATCTCACTCCAAAACTTTTTCTTATTTTTCAACAAAATTTGTTGATAACATCTCACCCACTCTCTCATTTGCTCTCTTTTTACATTGCTTCACCACTCTCTTAACCTCTCTCTTTTTCTCCATATACTCTTCCCTCCTTGCATCACTTCTACTTTGTAAAAACTTCTCATATGCTAACTTTTTCTCCCTTACTACTCTCTTTACATCATCATTCCACCAATCGCTCCTCTTCCCTCCTGCACCCACTTTCCTGTAACCACAAACTTCTGCTGAACACTCTAACACTACATTTTTAAACCTACCCCATACCTCTTCGACCCCATTGCCTATGCTCTCATTAGCCCATCTATCCTCCAATAGCTGTTTATATCTTACCCTAACTGCCTCCTCTTTTAGTTTATAAACCTTCACCTCTCTCTTCCCTGATGCTTCTGTTCTCCTTGTATCCCATCTACCTTTTACTCTCAGTGTAGCTACAACTAGAAAGTGATCTGATATATCTGTGGCCCCTCTATAAACATGTACATCCTGAAGTCTACTCAACAGTCTTTTATCTACCAATACATAATCCAACAAACTACTGTCATTTCGCCCTACATCATATCGTGTATACTTATTTATCCTCTTTTTCTTAAAATATGTATTACCTATAACTAAACCCCTTTCTATACAAAGTTCAATCAAAGGGCTCCCATTATCATTTACACCTGGCACCCCAAACTTACCTACCACACCCTCTCTAAAAGTTTCTCCTACTTTAGCATTCAGGTCCCCTACCACAATTACTCTCTCACTTGGTTCAAAGGCTCTTATACATTCACTTAACATCTCCCAAAATCTCTCTCTCTCCTCTGCATTCCTCTCTTCTCCAGGTGCATACACGCTTATTATGACCCACTTCTCGCATCCAACCTTTACTTTAATCCACATAATTCTTGAATTTACACATTCATATTCTCTTTTCTCCTTCCATAACTGATCATTTAACATTACTGCTACCCCTTCCTTTGCTCTAACTCTCTCAGATACTCCAGATTTAATCCCATTTATTTCCCCCACTGAAACTCTCCTACCCCCTTCAGCTTTGTTTCGCTTAGAGCCAGGACATCCAACTTCTTTTCATTCATAACATCAGCAATCATCTGTTTCTTGTCATCCGCACTACATCCACGCACATTTAAGCATCCCAGTTTTATAAAGTTTTTCTTCTTCTCTTTTTTAGTAAATGTATACAGGAGAAGGGGTAATGAGCTATTTACATGTTTAAATTTGGTTAGTCTTAACATAAAAAATTGTAAACAGCTTTCCACATCATCATTTCTCTGTATGAATCATTTGTGTACTCAGTCATGTTAGCGAATTGATTTTTGAGGTTTGATCATTCTGTCTGGTCTCTGGACAGTAACCATGGTGCTCAGGAGGAATGTGAATGATGATGAGACTGTTAAGAATACTTAGATGTGTGAGATTTTTAGATCAGGTTAAAAGTGGAGCGTGTGTAGAAACGAGGTAAACACGTGGTCTGAATGAGGCATCAGTTCATATAATTAGAAATAGTGAGGTGAAGATACGAGCTTGTGCAGTAAGTAATCCAGTCAATGGATTGATCAGAAAGCCAAGAAAAGTGCACCCCTTTTACCCCTTGGTAAAAAGACATATGTGCAACTAATGTAACATTTTATTGTGGCAGCATTTTTCTCTGTAGGACATTGTCAAGCTTGACAAAGCTCCTGGAAAGTGAGATATTGCCACAATAAAATGTCACATTAGTTGCACATGTATCATTTTACCTAACCAATTGTCAGTAATTCTACCAACATTATATTTTAATTTTATCACAATGAAGAAGAGAGCTTTAGAGTACAGGTCAGCCATCACTAATCTGGCATCATTGGGACCTGTAGTGTGCCGGATTAGTGAGTTTGCCAGATTACAGAGTGGTTATGTTAGAATACACTTAATTAACCTATCAATAGAGACTCTTTCTGCTACATCTTCCTCATTTTCATCACTGCTTTCTCCTCCACTAACTTGTTGCTGTGGATTTACATCCATCTGCACAATTTCTGAGTCAGGATAATGATGAAATTTGAGTCAGTATAAGGATTTGAGTCAGTTTAATGATGAAATTTGAAATTATGCTAGCTGAAATTAGTGCCGAATTACTGATGGAACCGGATAACTGACTGCCGGATTAGTGATGCCCGACCTGTACTATAAAAACAGTGTGTGATGAGGAAGGACAGCTTGAACAAGAGAGTTTAATACTGGTCAGGAGTATCCCTGCAAGACTCCATGGTTTTAGATATAAAAAACAAAAGCAGTTTGTTCATTGTGTGGAAATTTTACCTGTCAACATAGGCAACTGAGGTAGGATAAAATTGTTTCTTGTTACTTGTGAAGTATATTTTATACTAACAAGATTTTGTGTTAAATAAATACAGTGGACCCTCGGTTTACGATATTTTTTCACTCCAGAAGTATGTTCAGGTGCCAGTACTGACCGAATTTGTTCCCATAAGGAATATTGTGAAGTAGATTAGTCCATTTCAGACCCCCAAACATACACGTACAAACGCACTTACATAAATACACTTACATAATTGGTCGCATTGGGAGGTGATCGTTAAGCGGGGGTCCACTGTATTAGTCTCTGGCAGCATATTAGCCTTCTCTGTTTTCTCTAGATGGAGCACCATTTCAGTTATCTCTGGACAAAATACCATACCTATTTTCTCTGGATGGAGCACCATGCCTATTTTCTGTGGACAGAACGCCATACGTAATTTATCTGGCAGGAATCGGTGGTACACCTGAGGCCTTACTAAACCAGTTTTTTAGCAACTATTTTTATATTTAGGGTTTGGGTACATAACATTTTATTCTAGGTTAACTAGCAACATCTATAATGTAAGGTGTCAAAAAATTTAGCAGTTTTGATGATATAAGAAATATTAAAAAGTTTAGCATTTTTGGGAACCCTGGAATGTAACCCTATTTTTCATAGTGTATGTTATTCAGATCATTTTACATAATTTCAAAATTAGATGTTGCTTTCATAAAAGTAACTCAAGATTATTATTACAATCAAGGGGGAAGCGCTAAACCCGGAGGATTATACAGCGCCTGGGGGGGGGGATGTGGAAGGCATTCAGGCTTAATTTGGGGAACTGGAGCACAGATCCAATTCCCTAAATCAAGAGCCCCTCACCAACATCAAAGAACCTTCCTTGAGGGGAAGTAACTCAAGAGACCATTCAGACTTAATAAAGACCAATAAATTTAAACATGACCCTTTCACTGTCCAGACCCTCAAAATTAACATTGCTCTTGGTGTTTACTTTTTTCTAAAAAATATAATTAATTTTTCTTCTAAAATCTGGAGATCTTTTTCGAGGGTAACGACATCAAAAGTATGAAATTTGGTGGAAAATTAATGGAATTACACAGGTGCAAAGTTAGCAGTGTTGGTGCAGTTTACTCAACAGAGATTTCACCCACTTTGTCATATTTTAAGCCAATTTCATTGCTCCAATCAACTAAATTCTTAGCTATTTCATTAGTATGTCTTCCATTCTATTTATTAAGCAAAAGAAACTGCCTATTCATCTATTACAACGTCCCTTTAAAATGCACAGAAGGTGGTAATTTGGCCAATTTTCACAAAATTAAAAAAAATACCATTTTTAAACTAGAGTCCAAAATAAGCAAATGTATACATCCCTGGCACTTAAACAATATTTCCTCGGCTCATTAATCATGTCCCCAGGTCTCTCCTATATTACACTTGCTTTCCATTTGGAATTCTCAGAAATAAACGATTTACTCTATTTCTTGGTTAATAAAATATAACCAGGAATAAATGGTCATGGTTTATGGCACCCAAGTAATTTAATCAGATATGTATATTAAAATCCCATAAAACAGACTGGGTGGTATGGAAGGCCTTATCCGTCCTTGGGAAAATGGACAAAAATTTAATATTTCCTCTACTTTTAGCCCAATTTCAAGCCACGTCAGGTTCTGAAACTACCAAACTCATCTTTGTTTCAGTTGTATGTCTTCCATTTGATCAAATGATGCCAAGAAACAGCCAATAAAACAATAGATACCATCTTAGAAGACACCTCAAATTTGCTCTTTTAACCCTTAAACGGTCCAAACGTATATATTCGTTTGGACCGTTTAAGGGTTAAACTATCCACAAGTTCAGAGTTTTGCTCATCCCATCATGTACTGCATGAGGCAGGATTTTTTTTTATACCATGCACACTCGTTGCACAGACCCATTCTCTCATATCTAGGCCAAAATTTACAGCTCACACCCTATGTGAGTGAGCTGAGCTCATAACATAGAACTATATAAAGGACCCTGACCTCACTGATTTATTTTAACCCTTTCAGTGGCATGATGGCCACTGAAAGGGTTAAAAATGCTAACATTTCTTCTGAAATTCAAGACTTATTCCATGTACTTACAAAGATTTTTTTGCAGGTTCAAAAGTGAGGATCAGCAGTTATGGGTTGGCACTGGCACTGCTGCAGTGAAGGCAGTGTCCTGTGTGGAGGTGATCAAGCGACGCACTGCTAACCTTCACCAGATAACTCAACTAGTTTACAAGAGGTCAGTAGTCTCATTTCGTCTGGTATGTAGTCTAGCTTAGTGGGTCTTATTGCACTGACTCTGCACTTTCTAGAAAGGTATAGAATTAGGGGGGATATGCTTGAGGTGTATAAATGGAAAATAAGAATAAATAAAGGGGATGTAAATAATGCTGTTAAAAATACCTAAGACAGGACTCGCAGCAGCAGTTTTAAGTCAGAAAAAAATTAGATTTAGAAAGTATGTAAGATAGCTTTGGTTTGTAATAAAGTTGTGGATGAGTGGAGCAAACTCCTGAGTAGGATCATTGAAGCTAAAACCTTGTGTAGCTTTAAAAATAGGTTAGATAAGTACACAAGTGTGACTAACATGCCGGGAGCAACTGTCTAGTAACCTCTTCACTTGTATACATTACTAAAGTTAAAAAAAAGAAACTTTTGTTTTTCTTTTTTGTTCACCCTACTTTGCTGGGATACAGCCAGTTTATTGAAAGACGTGTACATGAGTGGGTGTGGGTGGGTGAGAGTTGGACCTGCCTAGCTTGGGCCAGTAGGCCTGCTGCAGTCTTTCTTTAGATGGGATAAGATAAGATTTGTTTGGATTTTTTAACCCAGAGGGTTAGCCACCCAGGATAACCCTAGAAAGTCAGTGTGTCATCAAGGACTGTCTGCTTTATTTCCATTGTGGTCCTTCAATCTTCTCCCCCAGGATTCAACCCACACCAGTTGACTAACACCCAGGTACCTACTTACTGCTAGGTGAACAGGGACAACAGGTGTCAGGAAAAATGCCCAGCATTTCCACCCATGCCGAGGATCGAACCATGGACATCCATTGCGTGAGGTGAGAGCGTTACCTACCATGCCTGAGACTGAATCATTATTAAGGATGGTGAAATTAGTTGTAGAGAAGAACTTTATTAAGATATCTTGCATGTGGTTAGGCTTTATTAGTCACTGAATAGGAATATATAACAAGAAAATTTATACAAGTGTAATCAGGTGATTGGTCAGGTCAGTGAGGTCACTGTGTGAGGTAATTGTATGGCTGGCTCATTGAGGTCACTGTGTGTGGGGTGAATTGTGTGGTTGGGAGCACTGCAGGAGGCCTACCAGTCAGTTACCTTTTTATGTATGCTGAGACGTGCTACGTTTGGCTAAATTGGAAGCTCCTCCATTCTGTTGGACTGTATTTTGTATTGAGAGTAGCATGGCTTCCAGGCATGCGAGTCATAATTTGTTCATTTTATGACCAGCTGGACGTCCTTCCAAGACAGAATGTGGGCAGTCTGGTCCCTATGTGTCACACAATCATTGTTTATGCTGTAAGTTCTGCAAACATGCTGGTGTTCATTCATGAGCTGTAGACTATAAGAGGTCAAAGCTGTCAAATGCAATGATGTTTACACCATTGTTGTTATGGTTATGGTGATTATCTATATTGTCTTGTCACATCTGTGATGATAAAGGAGACACTCGTGCAACATTTGGGTATATTTATTCTATAAATGTTTCACCAGCCAGTGGAATTCTTTAGTCTATGCAGAAATTGGTGGAAGATAAGGAGGAGTTTGAGGTAATCAGTCTCTCAACCTAGAGTCTCCAGGCTGAGGGACTGATTACCTCAAACTCCTCCTTATCTTCCACCATTCTTCTCTGTATTGGACTGAGGAAGCCACTGGCTGGTGAAACATTTCCAGAATAAAGTTACCTAAATATTACACAAGTGTCTCGTCTATCAACTTGTCAGGTTTTTAAACCACTTGTTCGAAACATCACACTTTGATAGTGATGGACGTGATGGTGGCATCACCTAGGTTTATCTTGGCGAGGGAGGGCGAGTCTGTGTTGTTCTCTGTTTTTGGTGGAGATTTTGTGTGCATGATCCTTCTTGCAATTTTGGATGATGTGTGCAGGAAATTTAAGTGCAAGAAGATGTCTTTTGGAATGCTGCACTCTTCATCCTTGTGTTTAGTGCTGCAGATCCTGTAACCATGTAGAAATATGCTATTGAGTGCACCTCATCTAGTTCTTTGATGGTGGTGTGAGCAGTAGTGTTTCATGTCATTCCTCTGTATGCAGCCACTTCCCTATATAACATGAATTTTTGTAAATATAATTGAAGAAAGGTATCAAAAAGTGAACTGATCATCCTGGGAAGGCCTATCAGTGTGCTGTTTAATTTTCAGTATACTTTTTCCTAGCACATTTACAAAAAAAGAATTGCAGTTTATGGAGGAACTTACAAGAGAGCTGACAGTATATTGAATTTGAGGCCTCTGTCTTGTCCAATGAGAAGCAAATCAAGGAAAGGAATTATAAATTATATACAGTTATTGCAACACTTGTCAGCTGTTCTTGAGGGCTTTGAGGGTAAGTCTTTTGTGTCCGTCGAGAGTAAGCCTTATGTTCCTGTTGAGGGTAAGTCTTTTGTGTCCATCGAGAGTAAGCCTTATGTTCCTGTTGAGGGTAAGTCTTTTGTGTCCATCGAGAGTAAGCCTTATGTTCCTGTTGAGGGTAAGTCTTTTGTGTCCATCGAGAGTAAGCCTTATGTTCCTGTTGAGGGTAAGTCTTTTGTGTCCATCGAGAGTAAGCCTTATGTTCCTGTTGAGGGGAAGTCTTTTGTGTCCATCGAGAGTAAGCCTTATGTTCCTGTTGAGGGTAAGTCTTTTGTGGGCCGTCGAGAGTAAGCCTTTGTTCCTGTTGAGGGTAAGTCTTTTGTGTCCATCGAGAGTAAGCCTTATGTTCCTGTTGAGGGTAAGTCTTTTGTGTCCGTCGAGAGTAAGCCTTATGTTCCTGTTGAGGGTAAGTCTTTTGTGTCCATCGAGAGTAAGCCTTATGTTCCTGTTGAGGGTAAGTCTTTTGTGTCCGTCGAGAGTAAGCCTTATGTTCCTGTTGAGGGTAAGTCTTTTGTGTCCGTCGAGAGTAAGCCTTATGTTCCTGTTGAGGGTAAGTCTTTTGTGTCCGTCGAGAGTAAGCCTTATGTTCCTGTTGAGGGTAAGTCTTTTGTGTCCATCGAGAGTAAGGCTTATGTTCCTGTTGAGGGTAAGTCTTTTGTGTCCGTCGAGAGTAAGCCTTATGTTCCTGTTGAGGGTAAGTCTTTTTTGTCCATCGAAGGCAAGTCTTTTGTACTGACAGGCAGAGTGTCTCCCACATAGCAAGCCATATCAGTGTAATGATTCAGTGGCTTGGTTGGTGGCGACTGGTGACGATGGCGGTCACATCTAGACTAGCTACTTACTGCTAGGTGAACAGTAACAGCAGGTGTAAGGTAACTAATGCCATGGTACCTACATGCATTTTTATTACATGTGTTTATTAGTATTTTATTACTTGTGGTTTATTTTGAGTTTTTCTTACAGGGTTGAGGAGTATTGGGAGCCCAAATGGGATGGCTTAGACCGCTTGAAAGTTACACGAGAAGTACCCACCATAGTTATCTTGCTGTCTAAAACGCCACTTGATTCCTCACTTCCTGGGTAAGACAAGATAGTGATCTCATAATTGTCTTGCTGTTTAAAACACCACTTAATTCCTCCCTTCCTGGGTAAGACAAGATAGTGATCTCAGAGTTATCTTGCTGTCTAAAATATTTCTACATTATTTAAACATGTGCTCTTGTTTGACTGTCTACAGGCCAAATTTAAGTTATAGACAGTCAGACACGTACAGTACTCACGTTACAGTATTTCGGTAATACAGTGCTTTTCAGTTATACTCATATGTATTATTTTCATCATTGTGCGGTGAGGTGGCCATCAGCCGACCCTCACTCAGTCTGTTCATAACAGTTGTGCACTGTGTCCCTTAGTGTCATATTCTGGCAATTTCCAAAGGTTTTACTCGTGCTATTGTTATTGTTGTTTTTATTAACACATCGGCCGATTACCACCAAGGCAGGGTGGCCCGAAAAAGAAAAACTTTCATCATCATTCACTCCATCACTGTCTTGCCAGAGGGGTGCTTTACACTACAGTTATAAAGCTGCAACATTAATGCCCCTCCTTCAGAGTGTAGACACTGTACTTCCCATCTCCAGGACTCAAGTCCTGCCTGCCGGTTTCCCTGAATCCTTTCATAAATGTTACTTTGCTCACACTTCAACAGCACGTCAAGTATTAAAAACCATTTGTCTCCATTCACTCCTATCAAATATGCTCATGCATGCTTGCTGGCAGTCCAAGCCCCTCGCACACAAAACCTCCTTTACCCCCTCCCTCCAACCCTTCCTAGGCTGACCCCTACCCCACCTTCCCTCCACTACAGATTTATACACTCTCGAAGTCATTCTGTTTTGTTCCATTCTCTATACATGTCCGAACCACCTCAACAACCCCTCCTCAGCCCTCTGGATGATAGTTTTGGTAATTCCACACCTTCTCCTAATTTCCAAACTATGAATTCTCTGCATTATATTCACACCACACATTGCCCTCAGACATGACATCTCCACTACCTCCAGCCTTCTCCTCGTTGCAACATTCATCACCCATGCTTCACACCCATACAAGAGTGTTGGTACAACTATACTCTCATACATTCCCCTTTTTGCTTCCACGGACAAAGTTCTTTGTCTCCACAGACTCCTAAGTGTACCACTCACCCTTTTCCCCTCATCAGTTCTGTGATTCACCTCATCCTTCATAGACCCATCTGCTGACATGTCCACTCCTAAATATCTGAATACATTCACCTCCTCCATACTCTCTCCCTCCAATCTGATATCCAGTCTTTCATCACCTAATCTTTTTGTTATCCTCATAACCTTACTCTTTCCTATATTCACTTTTAATTTTCTTCTTTTACATACCCTACCGAATTCATCCACCAACCTCTGCAACTTCTCTTCAGAATCTCCCAAAAGCACAGTGTCATCAGCAAAAGCAACTGTGACATCTCCCACTTTGTGTTTGATTCTTTATCTTTTAACTCCACACCTCTTGCTAAGACCCTAGCATTCACTTCTCTTACAACCCCATCTATAAATATATTGAACAACCACGGTGACATCACACATCCTTGTCTAAGGCCTACTTTTACTGGGAAATAATCTCCCTCTCTCCTACATACTCTAACCTGAACCTCACTATCCTCGTAAAAACTCTTCACTGCTTTCTTTAACCTACCTCCTATACTATACACCTGCAACATCTGCCACATTGCCCCCCTATCCACCCTATCATATGCCTTTTCTAAATCCATGAATGCTACAAAAACCTCTTTACCGTTATCTAAATATTGTTCACCTATATGTTTCATTGTAAACACTTGGTCCACACACCCCCTACCTTTCCTAAAGCCTCCTTGTTCATCTGTTATCCTACTCTCTGTCTTACTCTTAATTCTTTCAATAATAACTCTACCATACACTTTTCCAGGTATACTCGACAGACTTCTTTCTTTCAACACACCAGCCGTATCCCACCGAGGCGGGGTGGCCCACAAGGAAAAATGAAAGCTTCTCCTTTTACATTTAGTAATATATACAGGAGAAGGGGTTACTAGCCCCTTGCTCCTGGCGTTTTAGCTGCCTCTTACAACACGCATGGCTTACGGAGGAAGAATTCTGTTCCGCTTCCCCATGGAGATAAGAGGAAATGAACAAGAACTAGAAAGAAAACAGGAGAAAACCCAGAGGGGTGTATATATATACAGTGGACCCCCGCATAACGATCACCTCCGAATGCGACCAATTATGTAAGTGTATTTATGTAAGTGCGTTTGTACGTGTATGTTTGGGGGTCTGAAATGGACTAATCTACTTCACAATATTCCTTATGGGAACAAATTCGGTCAGTACTGGCACCTGAACATACTTCTGGAGTGAAAAAATATCGTTAACCGGGGGTCCACTGTATATATATGCTTGTACATGTATGTGTAGTGTGACCTAAGTGTGAGTAGAAGTAGCAAGACATGCCTGAAACCTTGCATGTTTATGAGACAGAAAAATGGACACCAGCAATCCTACCATCATGTAAAACAATTATAGGCTTTCGTTTTACACTCACTTGAGAGGATGGTAGTACCTCCCTGGGCGGTTGCTGTCTACCAACCTATGCCTAGAACTAGACAGACTTATTCCCCTATAATTTTTGCACTCTCTTTTATCCCCTTTGCCTTTATACAAAGGAATTATGCATGCTCTCTGCCAATCCCTAGGTACCTTACCCCTTTCCATACATTTATTAAATAATAGCACCAACCACTCCAAAACTATATCCCCTCCTGCTTTAACATTTCTATCTTTATGCCATCAATCCCGGCTGCCTTACCCCCTTTCATTCTACCCACTGCCTCACAAACTTCCCCCACACTCACAACTGGCTCTTCCTCACTCCTACACAAGATGTTATTCCTCCTTGCCCTATACACGAAATCACAGCTTCCCTATCTTCATCAACATTTAACAGTTCCTCAAAATATTCCCTCCATCTTCCTGATACCTCTAACTCTTCATTTAATAACTCTCCTCTCTTATTTTTAACTGTCATCTCCATTTGTTCCCTAGGCTTCCTCAACTTACTAATCTCACTCCAAAACTTTTTCTTATTTTCAACAAAATTTGTTGATAACATCTCACCCACTCTCTCATTTGCTTTCTTTTTACATTGCTTCACCACTCTCTTAACCTCTCATTTTCTCCCCATATACTCTTCCTTCCTTGTATCACTTCTACTTTGTAAAAACTACTCATATGCTAACTTTTTCTCCCTTACTACTCTCTTTACATCATCATTCCACCAATCGCTCTTCTTCCCTCCCGCACCCACTTTCCTGTAACCACAAACTTCTGCTGAACACTCTAACACTACATTCTTAAACCTACCCCATACATCTTCGACCCCATTGCCTATACTCTCACTAGCCCATCTATCCTCCAATAATTGTTTATATCTTACCCTGAATATATCATTGCTTAGTTAATTTTAAGGCTGCCCATAATGCTCTGCATACAAGGGGCTTTTAGCATGTTACACTTAACCACTGTATTTCTTTGTACTTCTATGTATCATGTCCAAATTAATAATAAATAAATACCCGAACTGCCTCCTCTTTTAGTTTATACACCTTCACCTCTCTCTTACTTGCTGCTTCTATTCTCCTTGTATCCCATCTACCTTTTACTCTCAGTGTAGCTACAACTAGAAAGTGATCTGATATATCTGTGGCCCCTCTATAAACATGTACATCCTGAAGTCTACTCAACAGTCTTTTATCTACCAATACATAGACCAACAAACTACTGTCATTACGTCTTACATCATATCTTGTTTACTTATTTATCCTCTTTTTCTTAAAATATGTATTACTTATTACTAAACCCCTTTCTATACAAAGTTCAATCAAAGGGCTCCCATTATCATTTACACCTGACACCCCAAACTTACCTACCACACCCTATTGTTGTTATTGTAATTATTAATTACAGTACAATGGCCCCTAAGGGTAATGCTAGTGAAAAAGAGAGAGTTGCAAACATCTTTAAAAATTAAAAGCTAGAAATGATCCAGTTTAGTAAGAAAGGCATGTCGAACACTGAGATAGATATTAAATCAAACTAGCTCCACTATACCCTTCAGTCTTCCTTTGTCAGTCACTTATAAAATGTCCATTTGTCAGTCACCACGAGCTCAATATGAACATGTTTCAACTTTAGCAACACAGTACTGTTGCTGAACTTGAAATATTTTAACTTTTCTATCATTTTTTTAGTTCTAGTGCTATTGTGTATTTAATAAATGATAGTGTAAACATGTTATTATGCATTTATATGCACTAACAAGTGAAAAAAGATAAAAGGCTGTGATTTGATTTTTGGTGGAGGTCTGAAACCTAACCTGCTGTATTAGTGAGGTTTTTTATTTTTATTATCACACTGGCCGATTCCCACCAAGGCAGAGTGGCCCAAAAAAGAAAAACTTTCACCATCATTCACTCCATCACTGTCTTGCCAGAAGGGTGCTTTACACTACAGTTTTTAAACTGCAACATTAACACCCCTCCTTCAGAGTGCCGGTTTCCCTGAACCCCTTCATAAATGTTACTTTGCTCACACTCCAACAGCACGTCAAGTATTAAAAACCATTTGTCTCCATTCACTCCTATCAAACACGCTCACGCATGCCTGCTGGAAGTCCAAGCCCCTCGCAAACAAAACCTCCTTTACCCCCTCCCTCCAACCTTTCCTAGGCTGACCCCTACCCCGCCTTCCTTCCACTACAGACTGATACACTCTTGAAGTCATTCTGTTTCGCTCCATTCTCTCTACATGTCCGAACCACCTCAACAACCCTTCCTCAGCCCTCTGGACAACAGTTTTGGTAATCCCGCACCTCCTCCTAACTTCCAAACTACGAATTCTCTGCATTATATTCACACCACACATTGCCCTCAGACATGACATCTCCACTGCCTCCAGCCTTCTCCTCGCTGCAACATTCATCACCCATGCTTCACACCCATATAAGAGCGTTGG